TAAAAATGTGTCAGTCCGACGTCATTGTCAGTGTGAGATCACTGATCTAAGCCCATTGGCTCGTTGTGGCAACCCTGCAGCTCATGTTAAAATTTCCGAAAGCGTGCTGAGCAACTGACCAATAACGACAGAGCAGATCGGTAGACCAATCAGAGCAGACTTGGCCCACGTGGGTCTAACAGTGTGGGCTCAACAGAGTGCAGCTGACGACTCAGAGCGTAGAGGGAGCAAGGAGGAGCAGTTCATGAAAACAGACACTTTATTGTGAACGTACAAAAGTAAACTAGATTTAAATATACGACCCAAAAAGGGCATAACATGGCTTTTAAATTACTGAGCGGTATCTTAACAACCGCCTTCAGTCCTCCATGCAAGTTAACTTCACATGTCTGTGCTGACTGGTTGCCTGTTGCTCTATTCAATTGGTTAAATGCCAGTTTACCTGCACTGCTGTTATGAAATGTCATCTGTCTATTGTGCTGGGCAGTAAAAACAGGAAAAGCAGTCCGGTTAATCAGAGCTAAAGCGCCATCCAGTGACTGCGTTACAGCTTAGACACAACATTTTACTGGCATTTGGGTCTACATGAATAAAAATACACTCATTCATTTTATAGATTTGTAATTCTGTGCTGACTAGTGAGGCGACAACGTTTGATTATTTAGTCAACTTGCCTTGAACATCTCCAGTAAAAAACAGCCACAGAACCTAAAGTCAACCCTTTTGAAAGCTCTCACTTCCTCAAAAGCAGTGTCAGAGAGAGGACAGTGTTTATCAAATCTAAAACAACCTTACTTTGAAACAAAGTGAAAGAAACTGTTATTTTCTGTTTTTCAGGAAACCTTGCAAACGCACTCACTGAATTGTTCCTGCGAACTGTGCATGCCAGGGTTAAAAGACTTGGTAAGTTCCCGGTTCAGCTTCAAGCTGCACTTTTGCCTGCTACATCCACTTTTGTTCTGCATGAATAAACCGATTTCCATTGCAGAATTATTGATGTGAAGTAAACAGAGTTGCTGTGTGTTTGACCTTGCAGGAGAATCAGAAGAACGATGACGAGTGTTTCATCTGTAAAAGAGAAGAAGGAGAAGAGTTGGTGGTGTGTGATATATGCCCTCTCTCTTTCCATCAGAAATGTCACCTCCCTCCTGTCGACATCATTTTAGGGTGAGCTTAAGGCTTAAAAATAGAAGTTTATCATTGATTGATTGACCGGCATATGTGCCGTGGCATATGCCGGTCTGGTCCACTCCTGTGCTGAGGCATATGTCGCATATGAGTGGCACATGCCGTTCTGGTCCACTCATGTGCTGTGTCAGGCCGGCAAATGCCATGGCATATGAGTGGCATATGCTGTTTTGAAACACACTGATAAATGTTTGACTTTACAAGTGTGTTTGTTTCTGACTGTGAGCAGGGACAAAAGCCGCTGGATGTGTACCTTCTGTGAATTCAGAACAGCTCAGAAGTGGATGTTCAGGGAAGAAATGGAAAGGGAAGCAGCAATGTCCGAACAGATATCACAACACATGAAGGTAGGCATAATCTATGACTCTATCTGTTACACTGTATCTCATATCTATTTTTGCCGTCATTTATTTTTTCCTCCTGCCATCAACAGAGGTGCCAGTACCTTCTCCTGTATCTGTGCAGTGCTGATGAGGAACAACATTTTGCTACAAATCCAAGCCTCTATGTAAGTCTTCGATATTTTCTGTTACCATACTCCTTTTGATGATTTTCCTATTCAATAAGAAGTACTAATAACCTGGAGACTGGTGGGATTGCACTTTCTTCAGTTTTTTGTTAATTGAAGTCTGAAGTTGATGCAAACTTAATATGAAGCTGAGGGTTTTATGAGTCTTTAGTTTTTTTTTTACGTTTTTGCTTTGCACCCACAGTTGAAAGACTACTCCACCATCATCCAAATGCCCATGTGGACTGGAAAAGTGACTGACAAACTCCAGAACAACCTCTACCAAACTGTTGGGAGTTTGTGTCTGACGTTCAGCTCATATTTACCAACAGTGCTTTTTACAACCTAGTAAGCAAACGCGCTAACAACGTATCAATATCAAAGATGTCATTTTTAGTAAACACTGACAGGTACTGTTATGTTCTCTTGCAGAGAAGAATGATGGATTCCTAACCATGAGCAACAAACTGAAGGAGTTATTTGACAGTGAACTCAAGAAGGTGTTCAACATACGTGAAGAGAGTAATGACTGATGAACGGTGTTTAGTTCACACACTCAGGTACTGGGAGAAAAATAGATCATTATTTGGGTTACAGCCTTGATGTATTTTAGTTTTTTAATTAAATCTCAATTTACAAAGAGATAAGTCACAGGCCTTTAACTGAAATGGTTTTGGACTAAATAAGAATTTTTAAGACCTTAAGACCTGGCATAAACTTTGTTGCAGGCAAGGCAGGAGCCCTGACCATGGGGCGCACTCACACTTGTCCCATACCGTGCTTAAGCACACACACTGCTCCAGGACTAACCAGGCTTAAGCACGGTTATCTCTTGTACATAACATCACAATAACACATGCAGAAGTGTGCTTAGTTTACAAGACAGATAAATAATAAATAAAAGGGACGCACGGTCAAGTCCCAAGTCATCACAGTTACACACTCAAATACGAGCCGACACAAAAGATATTAAGCTTTAAGAAAATGAAAGGTCCGGTTACACCTTAAAATCAAGGCGATAATTTATGATTGGATAGTTATTCATAATGAATGAATTTAAATATAAACCATCATGCAGCTTTTGCTTTTCAGATATAAGATTTGTGAGGAAAATAAACTTCCTTTGTCAAAAAAGCAAAACAGTGTAATCATGCAAATATGAATGTGGAGTCAGTATATTCATCTTTCCTGTTACCTTGGGTGATATTGACAATCTCAAATGCATCTTTCATTTAAAGCATGAAAACTTTTTTACAATGAGGAAAAACTTTTTATGATACATGATGTGTTTGCCTATTTTCATTTGTTTCTTCCTATGTTCTGTTTTATTATTGTTATTTCCATGTTTTCTAATAATTGTTAACATTTTTTTAAATTTTGACTTGAGTGCACTTTTGACAAAACAAGACGGGTTCACAAGACTTTGGCATTATTGCTTTTAATGTTGTGTGTGGAAAATAAAGTTGTGACCTGTCTGAACCTCAAAGGAAAACACTTGTGTGGCTGATCTTTGTAATTTTTGGGAGCTGGTGTTGCAGGTTGTTTTTTAGGCGTGAAACTATATAAATGCAACACAAAGTATTGATCACAATTCTAATAACATTTACCACAATAATCATTCAGGGATTGTCGCAATACTTGAACTATGAGCAAACAAGACGTTGGTACTGCTTGAGTTAAATATAACATTTTAAGCAGTCATATAATAGTTCTACCAAAATAAAGATTAACCCAGCTAGTTAGTAGCTGCCTGTTGGCTGTAGCACATGACACAAGTTACCCATTGATATGAATTTACATTTAGCAGAGAGAACTCCCATGATTCCCCTCCAGCCTCAATGTCGTCTTTTGTCATTGTATTGATTGAGGAATCTACTTACTGTGCCTTTAATATAATGTCCTTATTAAGTTAACATACATTGCTGTGTTAGCCCCCCCCCCTTGTTTCATCAAAAAAAGTAAATAAATAAATAAACATAAAAGCTGATTAGCTTTTAAAAACAACAATGCACAACCGTATTTTGTTGATTGATCCAGTCTGACACTTATAGAACCGGTAAGACACATACAGCTGGATGATGATAGTTTATAGTTTTTTGATATAAAAATTATTTGATTCAGATCAGGTGAGTGTTTTAAAGTTCTGACACAGATAATAAATCAATTAAATATTGGTGGTGTGATTATCACAAATTCTAGTTAAATAATGTTAAATATTTTAGTTATCAAAATGTAGCTGAGCCAGGTTGATGCCTCTTGATGTTAATGTTTTAAATGTAATTTTATTATTTATTTATTATATTCATATTTAATTACTGGCTGAAGGGGGCTTTTCCTTAGGGGCTGCTTCATCTACCTGCAGTCTCTACCAGACATAACAAGCTGCTTTCTCCACCTGCAGCCTCTACCAGACATAAGAAGCTGCTTCCTCCACCTGCAGCCTCTACCAGACATAACATGCTGCATTCTCCACCTGCAGCCTCAACCAGATGTAACAGGCTGCTTCATCCACCTGCAGCCTCTACCAGACATAACAAGATGCTTTCTCCACCTGCAGCCTCTACCAGACATAACAAGATGCTTTCTCCACCTGCAGCCTCTACCAGACATACGAAGCTGTTTACTCCACCTGCAGCCTCTACCAGACATAAGAAGCTGCTTCCTCCACTTGCAGCCTCTACCAGACATAACAGCTGCTTCATCTAACTGCAGCCTCTACCAGACATAACAGCTGCTTTATCCACCTGCAGCCTCGACCAGAAATAACAAGCTCCTTTCTCCACCTGCAGCCTCTACCAGACATAACAAGCTGCTTCCTCCACCTGCAGCCTCTACCATACATAAGAAGCTGCTTCCTTTACTTGCAGCCTCTACCAGACATAACAAGCTGCTTCCTCCACCTGCAGCCTCGACCAGACATAAGAAGCTGCTTCCTTTACTTGCAGCCTCTACCAGACATAACAAGCTGCTTTCTCCACCTGTAGCCTCTACATGCAGCCTCTACCAGAAATAACATGCTGCTTCATCCACATGCAGCCTCTACCAGACATAAGAAGCTGCTTCCTCCACCTGCAGCCTCTACCAGACATAACAAGCTGCTTCATCTACCTGCAGCCTCTACCAGACATAACATGCTGCATTCTCCACCTGCAGCCTCTACCAGACGTAACAGGCTGCTTCATCCACCTGCAGCCTCTACCAGACATAACAAATGCTTTCTCCACCTGCAGCCTCTACCAGACATACGAAGCTGTTTACTCCACCTGCAGCCTCTACTAGACATAACAATCTGCTCTCTCCACCTGCAGCCTCTACCAGACATAAGAAGCTGCTTCCTCCACTTGCAGCCTCTACCATACATAACAAGCTGCTTCATCTACCTGCAGCCTCTACCAGACATAACAAGCTGCTTCCCCACCTGCAGCCTCTACCAGACATAACAATCTGCTTTCTCCACCTGCAGCCTCTACCAGACATAACAATCTGCTTTCTCCACCTGCAGCCTCTACCAGACATAACAAGCTGCTTTCTCCACCTGCAGCCTCTGCCAGACATAACAAGCTGCTTTCTCCACCTGTAGCCTCTACCAGACAAAAGAAGCTGCTTCCTCCACCTGCAGCCTCTGCATGCAGCCTCTACCAGAAATAACATGCTGCTTCATCCACATGCAGCCTCTACCAGACATAAGAAGCTGCTTCCTCCACCTGCAGCCTCTACCAGAAATAACAAGCTGCTTCATCTACCTGCAGCCTCTACCTGCAGCCTCTACCAGACATAACAAGCTGCATTCTCCACCTGCAGCCTATACCAGACATAACAGGCTGCTTCATCCACTGCAGCCTCTACCAGACATAACAGGCTGCTTCATCTAACTGCAGCCTCTACCAGACATAACACACTGCATTCTCCACCTGCAGCCTATACCAGACATAACAGGCTGCTTCATCCACTTGCAGCCTCTACCAGACATAACAGGCTGCTTCATCCACCTGCAGTCTTGACCAGAAATAACAAGCTCCTTTCTCCACCTGCAGCCTCTACCAGACATAACAAGCTGCTTCTCCACCTGCAGCCTCTACCAGACATAACAAGCTGCTTCCTCCACCTGCAGCCTCTACCAGACATAACAAGCTGCTTCCTCCACCTGCAGCCTCTACCAGACATAACAAGCTGCTTCTCTCCACCTGCAGCCTCTACCAGACATAACAGGCTGCTTCATCCACCTGCAGCCTCTACCAGACATAAAATCTGCTCTCTCCACCTGCAGCCTCTACCAGACATAACAGTTGCTTCTCCACTGCAGCCTCTACCAGACATAAAATCTTTCTCCACCTGCAGCCTCTACCAGACATAAAAGCTGCTTCCTCCACTTGCAGCCTCTACCAGACATAACAAGCTGCTTCATCCACCTGCAGCCTCTACCAGACATAACACACTGCTTCTCCACCTGCAGCCTCTACCAGACATAACAGCTGCTTCATCCACCTGCAGCCTCGACCAGACATAACAAGCTGCTTCCTCTACCAGACATAACACGCTGCATTTTCCACCTGCAGCCTCTACCAGACATAACAGGCTGCTTTCTCCACTTGCAGCCTCTACCAGACATAACAATCTGCTCTCTCACCTGCAGCCTCTACCAGACATAACAAGCTGCTTCCTCCACCTGCAGCCTCTACCAGACATAACAAGCTGCCTCCTCCACATGCAGCCTCTACCAGATAACAAGCTGCTTCCTCTACCTGCAGCCTCTACCCGACATAACAAGCTGCTTCTCACATGCAGCCTCTCCAGACATAACAAGTTGCTTTCTCCACCTGCAGCCTCTACCAGACATAACAAGCTGCTTCCTCCACCTGCATTCTCTACCAGACATAACAAGCTGCTTTAACCACCTGCAGCCTCTACCAGACATAACAAGCTGCTTCAACCACCTGCAGCCTCTACCAGACATAACAAGCTGCTTTCTCCACCTGTAGCCTCTACCAAACATAACAAGCTGCTTCCTCCACTTGCAGCCTCTACCAGACATAACAAGCTGCTTCTCCACCTGCAGCCTCTACCAGACATAACAAGCTGCTTTCTCCACCTGTAGCCTCTACCAAACATAACAAGCTGCTTCCTCCACCTGCAGCCTCTACCAGACATAACAAGCTGGTTCCTCCACCTGCAGCCTCTACCAGACATAAGAAGCTGCCTCCTCCACCTGCAGCCTCTCATAGCAATGTGTGCTGATGCCTTCACCTTGCATCTCTGTAAAGAATCTTCAGCCACTGCCATCGACTGCAGCCACCACTAGAAACTAGTTCCAGGTTGCACCAGCCATATGTGAGTTCAAACGTAGTCTAGTTTGAAGTTTACGCTCTACTAACATTTTAAGTGTTGCACCAGCTGAGATAGTTACAATGAAGGCATAAGTGAAACTTAAACATCACAGCTAGTTCCTAATTGATTCAAAGTCCTCCTTAAAATACTGTCATTGTGATGTATCAATATTTAAAGTGGATAAGCAGAGGGGTTTACTGTTAGCATCAGCAGTGTGTTTTTCTGTGAGCAACCAACACTTTGCAATGAATATTTATGCAACACTTTGTGGTGGATATTCAAATATGTAATCAACCTTACATAACAGCCAAAGAAAAAGGAGATTAATTCAATGTTTATATTGTATAGAAGCATTTTTCTTAAAATAGAAACACTGTTGAAACATTTGGCTTTTTTTTATACTCCCCAGATAGTTTAACTAATCTTTATAACTCTGACTGTATAAAACAAACTCTTACTTGTCTTCCACTCTCTCCCTGCCTCAGTGGCAGGTTTAGTTGTTTTTACCCTTTAATTATCAATATGTTAAGTCTGTAATGCGCCCTGTGATGCGTCTCGCAGTACATCAGAGCCTTTTCTATCACGAAATGAAACGCTTATGTTTTGTGACATCATTTTATTGAAACGTCAGGGTGCTGAATATGAATTTAATGATGGGCTATTAAGACGTATTTCTCTCTTTCGGGTCAATTGAGAGAGAGAGAGAGAGAGAGAGAGAGAGAGAGAGAGAGATGCTAAAGGAAAAAAAATGCTTACTGTGCATGCGGGCATTAAGTTGCTGTCACCACTGTTTCTGTTTTTTTTTATAACGTTGCCTGTTATATGATTATTATGAAGACCATATTTATGTAGTAAAATTCCACAGATGACAGTGCTTCTTAAATGTATGGGGAAAGCGGGTAGCAACTTGTAAGTCAAACTTTTTTTTTTATCAGAATCAACAATAGGAAAAAAGTAGATGGGTATAATGACGTGAATAGTCGGTTGTTTATGGAAAGCCCGGGTAATCCTGCTGTCATTTTCTATGTGCAAAGATAATTCCACCCGTCCAACAACAGAGTATTGTTAAATTACATGTTAGTGGAAGATTTCACCACTTGATGTCACTATTATTTTACACCAGCTGTAGATTAAGGTTTTAACTCTTGAACCTTATGTCTCTTATGTCTCTGTGGTGCAACCAAACAATGACACAACTTAAGGTAGGACCTAACTAGTTACAAGGGTGTGGTGTGGACTTACACTTAGCTTAGCACTTAGCTGGTGCAACAGGCCGCAGCAGCCTTACTTCCATCTGCTCAATATGAAAGGCAGCAGCCATCAATGCCTTTCACTCAAGTAAATTGCAGTCACCTCCAACTGCAGTTTTTGGCTAACAGCTGTAGCTTGAGCCTCCAACAGGAGCCTCTCCTAAAATTTCAGTCTTTACCTCCACTCTGGCAAAATGTGAGACAGCTGCCTTCGTTGCCCTCAACTCAAACCTCTGTTTGCAAACTGTAGCCACCTCAAACTGCAGTCTCCTGTGGTTAACAGCTATAGCCAGCGACCATCACCTGCAGCATCTCCTTCGACCAGCAGCCACTACTGTATCTCCAACTCAAGCCTCTGCCAGAAATCTACAGCAACCTCCACTTGCACTAGGCCGCTAAAAGCTGGAACCCATGCCTCTAAGTAGAATCTCTTCTCAAAATGCTGATATAGCTCCATCAGCAGCCTCTGAGAATAACCATCAGCCTCAACCTCCACCTGAACAATATAAAGGACAAATGAAGCCATGACAGGAAACCTGAAAGCATCTGCCAAAAACCTGCAGGCCCAGCCTTCCCCTGCAGGATATGAAACACAGCTACCTCAAATGCTTCTGGCTCAAGCCTCTGCCAGAAGACATCAGCTTCAACCTCCACAAGTGCTAAGTTTATATTCATGATTTAACCTTTGCAGTTCAGATCAAACATAACATGATTTTTAAAAGTTGCTCATATTTAAATGATGTATTTCCACATGTTATTTGACCATATAAAAGTGTTGAATTTTTAAAAACACATTTTCTTCTTAAGAACAGGTGGTGGCCCGATGTGAGGTTCCAGCTCTGCAAGCTCAGCCAACAACCTTGAGCTGACGCCTCAACCTGCAGCCTTGCAGGAAAAACAACCCTCCAACTCAATCCTCTCCCAGAAACCTACAGATGCCTCCACTTCAGTTTATGGCTGCAGCTACACATCATGCCTCCAAGTCAAACCTCTATGAACAATCACCGCCTCCATCTTCAGTCTCTGCAACACATCAGGAGCCATTGCCTCCACCTGCAAAACATTACAAAAAACTGCCTTAAATGCTGCCAACTCAAACCTCTGTCAGCAACCTGCAGCTTCCTCCATCTGACAGCTGCAGCCCACACCCCAACTCCAAGCTCTGCAAAACCCAAACATCTGACTCCTCAAACCGCAGCCTCTGACAGCATCAATAAACTTTCACAACCACCAACAAATAGTGGCACACAGAGCAATCTGCAACTCCACATACAGACTGTAGCTGAGAGCTGCATTCCATAATTCGAGTTTAAGCAGCTGCAAGACCAGACGCTGCTGACTGCACCTGCTGCCTCTGACAGAAACCATCAGCCTCTACCTTCACCATTGCAACAACCAAGACAGGTACTTCTAGTGCCTCAAACTCAAACTGCCTCTATGTGCAGTTATTGGACAACAGCTGCAGGTAATGCATCTAACTTCAACCAAACTCCAACAGCCACTGCCCCCACCTGTGACACATGAGTAGCCACTACCGCTACCGGCAAACTCCATCATTAATGTGACCTCCTATGTCTGTCTGCAGGCTCATGTTAGAATCTGAATTTAAACCTTTAGCACCAACCAGAAACTATCAGCTTCTACCTCCACCAGTGAAATATAAAAGACTGCTGCCTCTTATGCCTCCAACTCCAATCTCTGCCAAATACAAACAGCCACCACCTCATCTGAAGCCAAGCATTGCCAGAAACCATCAACCTCACCATCACAATATGAAAGACAGCTGCAAAAAATGTGTCAATCTCCAACCTCTGCCAGAAACCTGCAGCAGCTTCTACCTGCAGACGGTGGCTGAAAGCAGCAGCATACCTTCACCTGACCTGCAACCGTGCATCTCAATCTTCAGCTTAAGATAAACAGTTGCAGCTTATGCCTCTAACTCCAACCTGTGACCATTCAGGAAACAATCACCACCCTCCACATGTGCAATATTAAAGCAAGTGACTTCCAGTTCCTCCAACCGAAGATTCTGCCAGCAACTTTGGATCTCCACCTCAAAATTTCAAACTGTCTCATTAAAAGGGAATTTTTTTAATAATAAACAAAGACTATTGCACTCTTTCAACAAGACTGTGAACAGTTGTGTTTTTGAATGCTCTGTAAGATCTTTCCACAATTTGTTTAAATATAACATATCAATATTATAATTCATGAAGTTATCATTATGACCTTTTTCAAACTTGTGTTTAATGTTTATATAAACATGAAAATGGTAATAAAGGTAAAAGGTAAGAGACACAGTCTCCAGACTGAACATCATTTAGCTTGGGCAGCCTGAGGGGAACAACATAATGTATTCAAATGCTAGTAGATCAAAGAAAGGAAAACACTATCTTAACTTAACAAGTTGGTTAGCCTTACCACAGTTGTTACTTACTGTTTGTTGTTCAGTTAGGAGTTCAAACGCCCAAATAAATATCTTATTTTTACTGTTACAAAGTTAGGAAGCCATTAGCTACATAATCCATAGATATTAACATATAATATATATTTAAACTTACCTTACTTTGAGAAAGTGATCACAGCGAACACAAGCAAGCGAACGTTCAAGACTCATTTTTTCAGGCAATTTTGTGTCAGCGATCTGCTCCTCTCCATCAGTCACCAAGCAGGGGAAGCAGTCACTCATCGTCTGAAGTCAACCATAACCTAGCAAGAGAATATCACATTTTCAGTTGATATGAAGCTTGCAGGTGCAGAAAGCAGGTAACTGACTCACACAGGCTTAAACACATCTCAGCCAGCACTCTCTTTAACTCAAGACTGAAAAGTCATGTACAGTAACTGAATTCATAACATAACTGTACATTAAATGTAAAACACAAACTTTACTTTACAACTTCACCACATTAAACAAAATATTTATTTGGCATTTACCTTAAAATAGTCTAAACCAAATTACCAACAACACTAAAGAAACTTGTACAACATTTTTACCAAAGTCCACCAACACAAATCTTGGAAACATTTAATGCAAATACTCACCCAGCATGAGAATATCACATTTTCGTTTGATATGATGCTAGTGTGACCTTCTCGATATAGTTCTGCTGTTTTCAACACAAGATGGCCCGGAGCATTCAGACTGGTTTATTCTGCGACAACATGGGACACACAAACAAAACCACATCTGAACAATTAATGGCCAATTGTTCAGATGTCTGTTCTAGGGCTAGGCAATATATCGAGTTTCTAAGCTATATCGATACATTTTCAAACAAGATATAGGGCAAGACAATATGGTTAATATGGATATAGTGTAAGTTGCATTAAAATAACATTACAGAGGTGCCAGGTCACCTTTTTCTCATCTCACTGATGATGATGATGACTGACTGTCTGTCCCTCCTCTCTCTCTTTTGTTGTATTTAAGGAACAGTTTTATTTTTTAATATAACTTTTTAAATTCATGTGTTTTCACTGTTAATAAAATACATATCGATATATATCGAGTATTGCCATTCAGCTAAACAATATTGAGATATGAGTTTTGGTCCATATCGCCCAGCCCTAGTCTGTTTCCACTTGAACCAGCATGGGGTTGTTTGCTGCTGCTTTTACAGTGAAGGTACAATTGATTTAGATAAATATAAATGTAAAAAAAAGGTAACAAATCATAAAAGTTAAAATGATTAAAAAAAAAAAAAGACATTTAGTAATTTAGTACTATCAACAACAAAAAAAATCTATATAATGACAGGGTTCTCAAATATCACTATATTACAATACAAACGGTATTTTACATATTAAATCAACAAATTAGAGCAAACACATCTAAAACTACATTTTGACTTTTTTGAGCTCAACCAGCAGTTTGATAAAACATTCAAAAGTTCGAAAATGAAACATACCTACAACAATATGGGACACACACAACTACAGGTGTTCAAAAATAAAGTTGTTCAGGTGTCTGTTCCCGCTCGAAGTTCACTCCTAACGGTCATTAGCGACTCGCTTAAATGCTACTGGTTCATATGAATTAAATCAACAAGTCCTCACAAAGTGGTAAAACTACAGATACTACAGGCGTTTCATTTGATATTAAATAAAAACAATAAACGCTGATACATTTTCACACATAACATGAAACATTGACTATGATTTAACTCTGTTAATGTCCGAGCAAATAGCAAATTACCCACAGCATCAGATCGGTTTTTTTGCAGATTGCGGTTTAGTACAACGCAAACTTCCGATGTGAATTTTCAAAATAAAATACGAAAAGTGAAAACCATGCAGTTGTTCGTCCCAAGAGGAATTTAACAATGACCTTAAGGTATTTATTTACACTGTATGTTATGGATCGAGAAAACTTAGAGGAGGACCCAGATGCAGAATTAACAAAAAATAATTTATTTTAACAAAAAGCCAAAGGCAAACAAAACTCACTAATTTAAAATGTGCAACAAAAAGCCAAAGGGGGGAAAACAAGGAGCCAGGAGGAAACACTAGAAATTCTGACATAGACAAACAAACTACACTCTGCTTACGATATACAATGAACTGACACAGAAGGGACGAAACACACAGGGGTAATCAACACAGGTGAGACTAATGACACAGGTGCAGACAATGAGGGCAATCAACACTGGAGGGAAACACACACAGAGGAAGGAATGAACACAAGACAAGAAACACTGAGGACAACTACAAAATAAATACATGAAACACTGAAGACACTGTAGAATGAAAAATTAAGAAACATTAGAACATAGAGGGAAACACCGGGGAAGAATGAGATCTAAAAGATAAAAAACATCTAACAGTGAAAAACAAAAATAAACAGAACAAATCATGACACTGTAGGCTTGTAGATTTCTTACGTTTAGGCTACCTGGAAATCCTCTCATAAAAATTGCAATGCTTTGCCAGCAGTGAAAGAAGGTGTGCTTTTTTTGTTAAGCCTTGCTGGGAATCACTGTCCACCCCTGGCAACGTCCTATGTGCATAATTATTAATCATGGTAATCCCAATAAACATCAAGAACTACAAAAATAATAAGGTATACACATAAAAAAAAAACAACAACTATATATCAAAGAAGAATAAAAAAAACAATAAAGTCTACACATTATAGAAGTCCGGAGATGGAAAGATGGAAAGGATTTTACAGATAACTCTGTGGTGTTTGCCGCCCCCTGCTGACACTGTCAAGAACTGCGTCGAGGCAACTTTACTTTCACTTTCCAAACGTCAGAGGGGTTGTGACAGAAGGGAGGAACTGAGAAAACATTTTGTGGGGAAGAAAATATGGTCGAATGAGATTAGATTTACATACTATACTACCCACTATTTGTTTTGATTTCAGAAGCAGTGCGGTAAAACCTTCATTATTGTACTTTTACTTTATAACTTAATACTTAACAGAACTGTTGATGCGGAATGAATGAATAATTGCACGATAGGCCTACATCGGCGGGGTTATATAACACCATTTTCAATGCAGTACTTGGAATGCCACAAAAAGTAAGCATTGAAGTAGTTTGAAACTTTCTGTAACAGATTTTTTTTTTGGGGGGGTGAATTAAAGGAGAAAGGTACTGGGCGACACGACAATGGACCCGCTGGATTCCCTGGAGACAGAGGAACTGCTGCAGGTTTTTCACCGTCACAAAACAGAAATGTCCTGCTATGAGAGTCCGACCGTCTTCATAAACCAGCTCAGGGATCATAACCTGATACCGGAAGACAGCTACAAGGTAAGACACTGAAGTGGAAACATTGAGCATTTGTCACTGCCGTTCACAGCCCCCCCCCCTCTGATTGAAATGCGCGCTTGTGTGAAAAGCGGGAACAGCAAGACTGGTCAGCAGTTTGCAGGCCTCAGAGATTTCTTAACAGGGCCATGTGCAAAACTTACCACTATATTAACCCACTATATTCAACAGCTGAATGATTATTTGAACCAAAATGAGTCTAAATGACCTCCAGTTTTCATCTTCTTCAACAATTAAACTGATTAAACTGTACAGGGCTGGATAAACCCCCTAAAGGGCCCCAGGGCAGAAATTAGATGTTGACCCCCTCTGTCTCCACCAGCTGAATTTTGTGAATAGCCTGAACTATTGAGTCCTCATTTTTTAGGTTTAACCACTTTTTTCCCCACTGTTGTCTTCTCCTTCTCCCACAATAAACACACAGACGGATTGACATGATTACAGTTAGTCCAACAGGATCTGTGATTAGACCTGTGTTCCTAACAACTGCCTGCTCTTCATAGTAACACTTTGTTTTGTTCTTAGCAATAGTCTGCTTCTCTAGAGGGATTGGACAGTGTCTATGTGTAATTGGCTAATCAGAATCAAGTATTTATCACAGCCATGTAATTATTTGAGATATTTATCCCCATAATAAAAGTGAACTTAGAATTACACAATAGTTTTGCTTTTTTTGTACTTTTTCAAAGAGCAAAGGCCATGGAGAATCCTTAGGTTACATTGACATCTTGTAAAATATCGGGGGGGGAAATACTTGTTACACTTAATTAAAGTAATCAAAAAATGGGTTGTGAAATTGACATCGGATCATATTCTTCACTCTCATCATCTTTCTACTTTTGTGTGCGTGCAGAAGTTAACTCGCATGAAGAGCAAAGATAGAATAAAACAAGCGCTCTATGATCTTCTCAGCTGGTTGGAGAAAAATCAATCCCAGCACATTAAAGTCTTCTGGAGTTGCGTCTTCAAGGAGACCATCATGAACCAGTATCCTCAGCTTCGATTACTTCGCAACAGCCTCCTGGACGGTAAGAAACTATTGTTTTGTGAATCTTCTTCACAGCTCTTTATATTAGTCAGTCTGTTTGGGAAATGTTCTCACATTTAGGGCGCACTCCCACTATGCAAAGTTATCCTGTAGCATGCTTAAGCATGACCCCCCCCCCCCCGGCAGACTTTGTGAAGTATGTGACTTGAGAGACTTTGAGAATTTTGTTTTCATTTGTGTCTGTTGGGACTTGATATTTCTAATATCCATCAACAACAATTCACCTGCAGGATCCTTCCGTGATTACAAACAACTGCCTGAGAAAATGGAAAAGGAAGAGTCAGCCGAAGGGAAAAGGAAGGAAATGTCAGAAGATGAGGAGGAAGAGGAGACCCAAGCAAATTCAGTAAAAAAGAAGAAGAAACGGAGAAAGATTGTGCTTGACGAGGGGGAGGAGCCGTCTGTTTCATCATGTAAGCTAACCCCAATTCAAGGAAAATCCAAGAAAGTAGTCTTCTGTAAGTCACCGCTCT